AAATAGATTTCTTAATTAAAATGAGAATAATACTTTAAAGAAAATGCTCTCTCAACTGTATAGACTATATTCACTTATTAAGAATTAATTTTCTTCATTAAATGTTGAGAAAATTGATCATGAGAAGATATCTCTCTGAAGAGAAAAGCTGAAATCTCTCATAGACTTACAAATAAGTGAACTATCTAAAGAGAGAGAATATGAACAGTATTTGAAGAAGATCTCTACAATTAATATAAAAGACTCTATTCTGATTTACTCAGATGGCTCAAAAAATGAGAATTTGAATAGATTAGACACAGACATTGCTTATACTGAAGATAATATTAATTTTATCTCAGATTTCTGAAATTTAGGCTGTGAATCTGAAGTCTTTGATGGTGAACTATTTGTAAAAGTGAAAGCTTTCAAACTCATTGAAATAAAATCTTATAAAAGAGGAAATAATTTGAAAGAGACATGAATATTCTCTGATAGTCAAGCTGCTTTAAAAAGACTTAGAAATAGTCAGATTTATAATGATCAAATGAATCTTGAACTGATTTTAAACTCAGTTTTGAAAATTTAAAAAAGAAGAATATTAAAACTGATAATTCATCTGCATTGAATTCCTGCTCATATGAATATTCATGGCAATGAATTGGCTGATTCAGCTGTAAAAAAGAGTTCAGAATTAAGCAGATCTATTCAAAAAACAGTGTCCTGATCTTTCATAAAGAGAAAGATAAAAGAATCTTGTTTAAATAAGTGAAATGAAAGCTAGCAGAAACAAAAGAAGAGTATACATTATTCAAGATTTGAGATAAAATCAAAGTGAAAATCTTGTTCAATTAAATGTAAAAAGAAAATATTCTCATCTATAATTTAGCTGAAACTAGAACATGATTATTTCAAATTCTATATACAAAGATTTAATGATAGATTTGATTCAACAGAGTACTTATTCTGCCATGTGAATGAAAATCCTGAGTACATTGTAATGCATTGTGCATTATACAATAGTATCAGAGTCAGATTAAAGAAGAAATATGATTTAAATCAATTAAATATGAGATTCTTATTCTCAACAGAGACAGGAATTAAATACTTAATAGACTTTCTATCAGAAACTAAAGCAGCTATAAGAAAATGACTGAATTCAGAAGTATCTGAATATGAAGAGATGGAAATTCATTAGATATAGTCTGTTAAAACAGCTATGTACTATCTTTTAATAATTTTATTTTATTATAGTCTCTCTTTACTGTACTTGTTTCTTTCTGTTCTTTTCTATCTATCTATTTAATGTGTCTATCTTTAAGACTATGTTCTCTTTTCCTTTGTCATGATATTTTCAAATGATTTCAAAGTATCAAAAGGTGTTGAAATACTGTAATTTGTAAACAGTTTTTATATTCTGAGCTGGAATTTTCTGATTTTGCATATCTGAAATTGATAAGTGTATAATAGTTGACTCTATATATATAGGAAAAACCCTGAGATCTAAAGATTCTCAGATAGATGTCATAGTCTCTAACTGCATACATCTATAATTGAAGAATAATAATAATAATAATAATAATATATACTGTTAAATCAGTTAACAACTGTTATTATATAACAAAGATAATTTCTAATTCAGTAATATTAAGAGTATTAAGACTATGCTTTTAAAGAGAAGAGTATTATCACATCTTTGACTATATTAAGACTCTGTAGCAGCTTTATATAAATTATTACTTTGCTGTAAATGATTTTATTCATTCTGCAAATATCTGAACTGATTTTCAATCACTTTATAACATCACTTAAATGTAATATAAAATAATTTAATTAATAAATATAAGAATCTCTAGACTGACCGTGCGACCGTGTCTGAAACCAGGACCAGATTTTTTAATAGTCTCATTACCAATTCGACTGATCTCATTACACAGTTTTAACATTAGATAGTAGTCTCATACTGTCTCAGTGAAACTTACTGTCTACTCTTATCACATTTTTCAAACAAGATCATGATTTTCACTTCTCAATTTAAATTATTTTTATTGCTTTAAATGACTTTAAATCTCATTTAAGTGTTATCAAAAAGTGTTACTTTTTTAAAAAATTAAAAATAGTCTAAAAAAAACCTTAAAAGGTCTAAAAATAGTAACTTTATGTCAAGAATGAAACTAAATGAGATCAAATGAGATCACTTTCTTATTTTTTTCAAGTCATGATTTCATTTTAAGATCTGATATATAGTCACTTTACATGTTTTTTTGATAGTCAGTCTCAGCGGGATTCACGCTAAGAAATGTATGAGATCAGATCAAATGAGATTAAATGTGAAATTCATGATCTCAGCAGTCAGTCTAAGAATCTCACTTCTATATAAAATCAGCAGATTACTTCTTATATATAAATAAGATGCTGTTGTGATATTACTTCAGCTATTCTTACTTATAGAATAAAAGAAGAGTGATTACTCATTATCTATATAGAATATCTAAATGCTGACTTCTTATTAAAGAAGTTAGTAATTTATTTTTTTTCACTGATAATATATACATGAGTTACTGTAATTCTCATACAATTTTCTTAGTTTAGACTGACCGTGTGACCGTGTCTGAGACCAGGACCAGATTTTTTGATAGTCTTATTATCAATTCGACTGATCCCATTACACAGTTTTAACATTAGATAGTAGTCTCATACTGTCTCAGTGAGACTTACTGTCTACTCTTATCACATTTTCCAAATAAGATCATGATTTTCACTTCTCAATTTAAATTATTTTTATTGCTTTAAATGACTTTAAATCTCATTTGAGCATTATCAAAAAGTGTTACTTTTTAAAAAATTAAAAATAGTCTAAAAAAAACCTTAAAATGTCTAAAAATAGTAACTTTATGCCAAGAATGGAACTAAATGAGATCAAATGAGACCACTTTCTCATTTTTTTCAAGTCATGGTTTCATTTTAAGATCTGATATATAGTCACTTTATCTGTTTTTTTGATAGTCAGTCCCAGCGGGATTCACGCCAAGAAATGTATGAGACCAGACTAAATGAGATCAAATGTGAAATTCATGGTCCCGGCGGCCAGTCTAATGTTAAGTATTATATTTATAATATTCTCATAATAACTCTGTAGCTCATGAGCGCACTATTTAAGTAAAATAATTAAGCTTACTTATACAGCTTCTCTAGATAACTATCTATATAACTCTACTAATTAGCTACTACTTCAGTTTCATCATATTACAAAGATAAAGAAATAAAGAAATTAATTTTTATAAAAACAGTTATAACTCATTCTTCTCTTTTTTATTCATTTCAAAATTTAATTTTATTGAAGTTGTAAATAGACTGACTGTCAGAATTATGAATTTCACATTTAATCTTATTTAATTTAATCTTATACATTTCTTAATATGAATTCTGCTGAGACTAATCATTAAAAAAACATGCAAAGTAACTATATATCAGATCTTAAAATAAGACTATAACTTAGAAAAAATAAGAAAGTGATTTCATTTAATCTCATTTAGTTTCATTTTTGACATAAAGTTACTATTTTTAGACATTTTAAGGTTTTTTTTAGACTATTTTTAATTTTTTAAAAAGTAATGCTTTTTGATAACAATTAAATAAGATTTAAAGTCATTTAAAGTAATAAAAAATAGTTGAAATTAAGAAGTGAATATTATAATTTCATTTGAAAAATGTAATAAGAGTAGATAGTAAGTCATACTGAAATAGTATAAGACTACTATCTAATCTTAAAACTGTGTAATAAAATCAGTTAAATTAATAATAAGATTATTAAATATTCTGATTCTGATCTTAAATATGATCACACAGTCAGTCTAGTTATAAACATAACAGATGTGAAATCTATACTGCTTGAATAAAATTTAAAAACAGTTAAATCAGATTTTAATATATTTAATATTTTTAACTAGTAACTTTTAAATTTATTAATTTTTACTTTATTTTCTTATATTTAAATAAGTATTCAATAAGTTTGTGTATTTATATTTTACTAACTTTTAAAAAAGAGATAGTAAAATCTGTATAATAATATTTCAGAATTGAATTCATGAAATGTTAAATATATTTAATTATAAAAGAGTAATTTTTCTATTTAATAGCTTAATTTATTATTTAATTATATTTTTCTAACTTTTATTTAATCTTTTATTAACTAATATTTTAACAGTATTTAAATTTCTTTTATTGATATATACTTAGAGATGTTAATAGAAAATATCAAATTTTTATAAAAAAATATTTTCATTTTTCTTTAATATTGTAATAATTATTAATTTATTAATAAAAATAAAGATTAAGAATTTACAAGATTTTTATTATTTCAGTGTTTTTATTATTTTAATATAATATAACTTACTTACTATAGATGAGTAAGTAAGTAGCAGTATAATTAATAGTTTTTTAATTATATTTCAGTATTATCTGATTTTTATCTTTTAATACTTTAAAATTATTTATTTAATTTCATTATTACTAGGTTAAGTGAGTAATCATTTTTTTCATAAATATATATATGTAAAATTCTTTTCACTAGTTAAGACTTTACTGATTATTGTAGCAATATATAGTCATTATAAGTTGTGAGGAAAATGAGTCATCAGTTATTAGAGGTGTTATGTCAGATTGAGTTAGTGATTTGAGTCAGGTGATTCTCATGACTGTGTCCACTATTTCCCCAGTCATTCGCTGGGTGTAAGGTTCACGGGGTTACTCGGGATCGCCGTCAGTTTCGTGGGACAAACTAGCGCACTTCCCCAACCACTCAGCTACCACACCTCGCACTGGAATGGTAGGTTAAGGCCTGACCTTAGTCTAAACTTAAGGGTCTAGCCTCTTTTGGTTTAAGCCTTTTAACGGGCCAAATCACTGCAAGACGTTCCAACTAAGCCCACTAAACCGTACCGACTCCCCAGCCACACTAGGTCTAATTAGCTCTTCACCGGTGGGACACTTAACCCTAACAAGGCGCCGAACTATTTCCATTTGTCCGGGCCTTGGCGTCAAAGAGTCCCAGACCAGACCTGCGCCATCTGTCTTCGCGATCCTGTTATGTATGTATTATTGTCTATCTTAACCACCAACCAGCACAGCGCTCTCTATACTATTTACCCTTCCCACGCTCACTCCTTAGATTCCTCTGGTGCTGGGTCCCCGTGTTGAACTCTCCAGATTCCTTCCTTCCGCTTCACTGCGGAACAATCCCGTCTCGATTTTACCCTCCCGCAACTATTTTTTTTTGAACGCTCGTTACCCAAGGTACGAGGTCTCTTGCTGCCCCGGGTCCATTGGGGCTTCAGTCGCCGCCCTGAACCTACTTATCTCTGCCCCAGCCCCCATCGCTTGACCTTGGGCCTATCTATCTATCGACTCACCTCCTCAGAGCGTTTCACCGCTGTCATCGGACTCCACCCGTCCTTTCATTGCTAGCCTTGCTTGCGCTTGCTTCCCTTCAGTAACATCTGGGCGTGGGGGGAGTGACAACACTTATCCACTTTAAAACTTCGTTTCTGCTATAGTGCTGACGTGAAAGACGTTGAAAGGGCCGACTGGGAGGGTTAAGCAGAACACAGGAAGGGAAGAGGAAGAAAGAAAACAAGAGGAGGTATAAGAAATTCAGGACCAGTATAATATAGGGTATAGAAAGGAAAAAAAGAAATAGAAATAAACAAGACGGAGGCTTAGCTTGTTTTATACTGGGAATACTCCTGTTGGGGGAAGAGTTCCCGGAAGCATTGTTTTATATGCAATCACCCCCGAGAATCCGCTATCATGCCCGGCATACTCCCAATGAAGGTGATCAAGGTGGGCAACAGCTCGCAGAGTCGTGTTGCCCAGGCTTGTGACCGGTGTCGGAGCAAGAAGATCCGTTGTGACGGAATCCGTCCGTGTTGTTCGCAATGCGCCCACGTCGGCTTCGAATGCAAGACTAGCGACAAGCTAAGCAGACGTGCCTTTCCTCGAGGTTATACCGAGTCCCTAGAGGACAGGGTTCGTTCGTTAGAGGCAGAGGTTCGAGAGCTCAAGGGGCTGCTAGATGAGAAAGACGAGAAAATAGATGTCTTGTCACGCCTGCAGTCGTTTTCCTCCGCGCGCAAGAGTCCGTCGTATGGCTCGAATGATCCGGGATCTTCGCCAGGCGACAAGTCGTCCGAATCTTCTATCTCTGAAAAAAGAGAGGATATGATCCGCGTTCAACATTCATGCTCGCTGCTAAGAAAACCTACGAGAGATGCCCCCTTTACTGGCCCTTCGAGTACAAGGGCGTTTATAGGTAATGGCCCTCCAGATATCCTTGACTCCTAGTGCTCCTGTAATATTCTTCCGCATACTGACACTGTATATTTCCACAGATGCATTTGCCAAAAAAATGGAGATGAGCGGCAGATCAGCTTCGGGCTTCTCAGCCGACGTGTTGCTCGGTCCACCCTCAATACCAATTTGGCGGCATCAGGATGTCAACCCCAAAAGTCCCCCGAGGCTGGTATCGGACCAGCTTATCAACATTTTCTTCCAAGAATGGGCACCGCTATATCCTGTCATCCATAGACCTACCCTCCTGAAAGTATACAGCCAGTATACAAACGATCCTGGGGAATTCGAGGACGATAAATACTACATTGTACAGCTGAACCTGATTTTTGGAATATCTGCCATCTCCTCTACTGTATGAAACTGGACATATCCCCATTTTTATATTTTTGAGCCATTTGCTAAATAGCCCTCCTAATTAGGCCCGTATCCCCCAGGATCCAGCGCTCTTCGAGCAAAATTGGCTGCCCAAGATTGATGCTCTAGCAGATGACATTTCTCTGCCAGCCCTCCAATGCTACGTTTTGGCGCAGATTTACTACACCGTCAAGGCTGATTACAAAAGCCTGCTACGCTATCGCGGCCTTGCTGTGGGGTTGTGCCATCAACTTGGTCTCCATCAAAGCCAGAGGAGGTTTTCATTTAATCCGCTCGCCAGTGAAATGCGGAAGAAAGTGTTCTGGTGTCAATATGTTCTTGACCGGTAAGTTCCCTCTTATTTCAGAAGGATCTCTATGTACTGAGCTTGTTCACGTGTGGTGCTTACTTTTGCTAACATTTTATCTTAGTTTTGCCGCTGCGCTGACGGGATTGCCTGTGTTGTTAGCGGAATCAGATGTCTGTGCGGAGTACCCGGTCGATATTGATGATGAAAACATTACGGATGCAGGATTCGTCCCAACGCTAGCTGGCGAATCAACGCGAGTTTCAAGTGCCTTAGCCCTTTTTGCTGCGGCACGGATTTTAACCAAGGTTCTTGCCCAGCTGTACCCTTCGCCGGCTGGTTATGATGTTTCGTTGTCTACGATTCATTCTCTGGCAGAGGAACTTGATGGGTGGCAGAAGAATCTTCCGCCGCATCTTCGACTTGAGTTTACGCAGGATAAACCCAGCAGTAGCGTCACCGGAAGCCGGTCACCTCTTCTCGTAAGTTTTGAAGTCTAGTGAAATCCTTCTTGTCCGTTACGGGGCCTGTTTCTAACCCTCTCCGCCAGTCTTTAACGTACTACTTCATTCGGACGCTCATCCGACGACCGGCAGTTTGCTTTGCTGCGCAAAACAATGCCTCCCCTTCCCTGCTTGCGTTGGTTGACTCGGGGAAGCATATAATTCAAATTCTGCAACTCCTAGATGAGAGGAGAATGAGTCTTTCGCTTGCTGTTAACAGAAGGGAACTTATTTTTGTCTCTAGCCTGGGAGTGCTGTGGCAGAACATGGATCTGGGTCGTGACTGCAAACTCGTGAAAGAAGGACAAAAGCTCCTTTCGTCCTCCCTGTCTCTACTCGAAAACGAAGCTACAGAAGCCGCTAGTGAATTCAGCAACATCTTGAACCTTGTTTCTCCAACTGATGAAGTTAAGCGCGTCAAGCCAGAATACCATCATCATTCAAACGCGGATATGCCTGCCCCTTCGCCAAAGGCTAAATCACCGAGAAAATCCCAGTTGCTAGAATCCCGTCAGTCGCTTAGCATGAGCACACCTGTCTCCAATTCCAATTCGACATCCATTTCAAGCCCAGAGCTATGCCAGCGCAGTGTCAGGTCCTCCAGCTCCCTCAGCATCGCCTCATCCGCGAACCCAGAGCTAACGGCGATAACTCCCCGTTCCTCGGGTGAGCTGCCTTCGGACTACCTGAACTTGGACTACCTCCCTCTCGGCGACCAGAAGGTTGGGTTGAAAGCAACAACCACCAACGCTGCTGGGGGTGAATTTAGTGTGTCTGATTGGGAGCACGTTCTTGGCGGCGTGGATAACGGACACGCAAACATATTCAATGGGATATATGGTAGAGGGGAATGTGGGGACGTCAGCGCCGGTCCCTTCGCCCAGATCACGCCCCCATTCCAGTACGCACCAAATCAACCGCACCCGTCACGAATGTCCACTCAGCCCCCCTCGCAGGATCTGCACGGCTGGTCTCCGGATGAGTGGTCCTCCTGTACAAGTAGCGATCTGAATACCAGACACAGCGTGCTAAGTTTTTCGGAAGATAGCATCGGAACCGTTGACGAACTGCCGCCGCCAGCGATAAGTGGTAAACATTGCGAGACGCTTACACATACGCATGCGCAGCAGCAGCAACAGCAAGCGCTGCCGCCACAACACCCATCAGCCTCGGACGGACTTGACGGTATCATAATACCGCATAACATCGAGCAGCTGGACAATGCATCGGACTTTGGAGGTATCATTGATACCTGGGCTTTACGCCAGCCTGCGTGAGCAAGATTTTTAAAAATGATATAACAAATGAATATACCCAATGCCTAATATTATTTGTATCGGTAGTCGCTTTTCAGTGGTTTTTTATCCTTTGGGTGCGCGGAGTTCCTGATATCCTTTAGTACATGTACATACGGGTAGGCTGGCGTATTGGTAACAAATTTTTTCTTTTATATCGATTTCGATCTGATTCCATTTTTCCCTCCGGGTTTGGGCGTTTTATCTGTTTTCTTGTGCTGCTTGCTACTGGGCTGTTGACGGATTAATTACACATTTGCTCTGTTGTATTGTCTTTACCACTCATGAACTCTCTCTAGCAAGAAAAATATGGGAATAATTTGTTATATGTGACTCTTATTTCTTTATCTATACGTTATTTCTTTTTCTTTTTGAAGTATATGATGTGATTGTGTTTACATACTTATTTTAACTCTTTTCAATCTAACTTATAAAATTCTAGATAAATAAGAGTATGAAAAATTATGTTTAATACTAAAATAATAACAGTCATTTGACTCATTTCTAGGTAGTGAATTAATTCAAAATCACTTTTTAATTTTTATCAGAAATTGTATTATATAAAATGAAAGTATGTACTGAAAAGAATGTTATAATTAATAACTTAGTATATTAATTTATATTATTATTTTTACAATTCAACAGAAGTTAAAAATATAACTTATATTATTTACTGTATTTTTCTAGTATATAAATAACATTAAATATTTTTATTTAATATTTGCTTTATTATTAAGTGTAAATAGACTGGCTGGCAGAATCATGAATTTCATATTTAGTCTCATTTAATCTGATCTCATACATTTCTTAGCATGAGTCTCATCAGAATCAAGTCTCAAAAAAATCTGAAAATAAATCATTTCTGAGAGAAATGATATGAAAAATAATCAGATTTAATTCAAGAACTGTGAAATAAGAGTAATTTCTCAGAATAAACTATAAAAGATAATCATTCTTTTAAAATCAGAATAAGACTGAGACTGAAGATTAAAATCAATCTTATTCAGTTTATTTAGTAATTACTTATATAATCAGAATTTAGTAATAATTATTAATAATACTTATAAAATAACTAAATATATTCTTATACAAGTTTATTCTTTACTTTCTTATGAAAACTATACTTCTCTGATATACTGTAATCAGAGATATTAAACTATCTGATAATTTTATATTTTATAATTATGAGTTTCTTAATTATTTCTTCTTATACTTGTTCTCAGTAATAGTAATAAATATCTCAGCTTGAGTTGAACTTTTACTTCATTCTCATCTCTGTCAATGAAATTGTTAGAGTATTATATATTATCAGTATAACAGTTGAATATATACTCTTAACAATTTTTTATACCTCTAGAATTGATTTAATATATAAATTCATCAGATTATCTTGAAGATAGTGATTAAATTCTGTTTTATAAGTATATAGTTTTATCTGATTGTCAGTTGTAATTAGTATATATAAGTTCTATTTAAAAGTTAGTATTATAGTTCTATATAATATAAAGTATTATCAAAGATTATTACTTACTAGAGAATTATATTTCACTATCTTCACATTTTAAATATTTACTTATTCAAATCTCTGATAGTTAATATTATAATAGTCTCAGACTAATTTAATCTGATATATAAGTCTTATTTCTTCTCTATTTAATCTTGAGAAGTGTAGATATTAACTTAATAGAAGAGATCTAGTAGAGCTGCTATAGTATAGTACTTTGAAAAAGATTATTCAGTTTTATTGTAGTAATATATCAGTTTATTTCTTATAGTAATAATAGTCTGCACTATAATATTATCTCAGACTAAATTTCTTTTTAAGTAATTTAACTATTTCTTAAGATAAGTAAATAAACTGTTATATACTTATCAGACTGACTGCAGTATTGATATATAAGTGATTAAGACTATCTTTATTATTTTATAAAACTGAAACAGTAAATCAATCATATATTTTAACTAAGTATACTTTATATCAGAAAGTTTCAATATTTAAATCTTTTTCTGATTGAAGTATTACACTTAATAATTAATTATCTGATACAATCAAAGAGTTTAAATAGTTATTTTATATATTAAACTTTATTATATTCTAATATTCTGTATTATATTCAGTGATATGATTGATTTATTTATTTATTAAATATTATGAAATTATTATTATTATTTAGAGAAGATATAAATTATATTAATAATATTTCAAATTTATAATATTTAAATTATTAGTTCATCTATTCAAAATTAATAGTAGTATTATTAAAAAGTATTAGTAAAAAACAATATTAAAAAGTATTATTAAAAAATATTATCTTTTACAAAGTAAATATAAAAGTTATAAGTAATTACTTTTATCTCATTCTCATCTCAAGAATCAGTCATTTTATTATTTATTATCTTAATATTAAGATTTTTTATCAGTGTTTATATTACAAGTTAAATTATATAAGTAATATAGAGAATATAATCTTATTTATTATTTTAGAAATACAAAGTTAATTTTTACTTTAAGCTCTTTATTATAGTGTAGTTATTCACAGTATTATCAGTTATAATTATAAGAAGACTGAGACTAATATCTTAATAGTTATTTTTAATCACAGTTATTAATATCTCTGTTATATAATTCTCAGTATGACTATTGATCAATGATTCAAATCTAATTAATATATCTTAATAAGTTCAGTTCTTATCAATATAATAACATATAACTCTCATAAATGTAAGATTATTTATACTAGTTTATACATTTACTATGAGAGACACTCTTCAATGATTCTTCAACTCTGATTCTAAATATTGTATATTAACTTTATAGTATATCTCAAGATTAAACTAAAGACAGAATTAATATGAAATATGAAGATTTGAAGTAAGTATTTGAAAATATGTTCAGAATTCAGAGTTTTCAATTAATTAAAGAGAAAGATTCAGATATATATATATATTAAGTAATTATTTATAAAAGTTATTAGATAAGAGTTATGAAATTAGAGTACTGATATATAATTATTTTTACATAATTTTCTTCAAATTAGAAAGTTAGTATTACTAAAAATTATTATCTGATAGAGTAACTTATTAACTCAGTAATAATTTTCTGATTATTTATCTTTTATTATCTACATTCTGATAACTTCAGATATTAGAAAATTTCTTCTAAGTTATAATCAGTTTATAATAAATATTTCTGAATGAAGTTATAGTGATTATAGTAGAGAGATAACTCTTCAGTAATCTATAATATAATATATTAATAATTATTTCATAGTTTATCTCAGTATTTATATTGAGTTTTTCATAAATTTCATGATCTGAAATTAGATATGAAGAATAAAGTGATTATTCACTATAATTAAAAGAGAGTATTTTGTGTTAAATTGTAAATAATATAGACTTTGTAATTCACAGTAATTTCTTAAAGAGTTTATGAATCTTTAGTAGAAGTAAAAGAAGTAAAAGAAGTTAATTCAGAAGATATAATAATAATTTAAAAAAGATAATAATTTATTTTCAATAACTAATCACTGATATGTATAAGAAGAATTATTATAAGAGAAAATAATCTTCTTTCTTAACTTAGTTATAATTTTAGTACTAACTCAGATTGAATATTATCAATGTATAAAAGTAAATAAATAATCTTGATTAATCTCTGTTATATTTCTTGAAATGTATTAATATTGTAAAAGAGAGTATTATCAAATTACATTATTAGATAATATTAGTAAAAATATATTAATATTATAAATATCAATACTGAAAAAATATTGATACTTATACATTATAGTGATTTGTGAATTATAATAGTTAAATATATATATATATATTATTTCTGATATTAATTACAACTTGCACAATAATTTTTCAAAACTTAAAATTAATTTCAATTATTATTTAACAGCTATCAAGTCTATAACTAATTAATATAGAAAAGAAAAAATCTTTTTCTACTTATTATCTTTCTGCTCTTTCTTATTCTTTTTATCATTCTTTATAATTTACTTCTTATTCTCATTCTTCTTCTTCTTCTTCTTATCTGAGATAATAATCATCTTAAAATCTCTCTTCACTGTCTTCTTAGAAAAGAGTTTCTGCTACTTTCTCTTAGTTAGATTAATCTGTGTTTTAAAATCCTGCATTTTCTTATCTGCTGTCTTGAGATTCATCTCAGTACAAAGTAGATTAATATACTTAGAGAGTAGAGCTATCTTCTTAATATTCTGAATTATAAAGTATATTTAAGATCTGAATATAATCTGAATTCCCTTCTTCTCTATCAGCTTCTGCTAATCAATTAGAGAACAGAAGTGTTATTAAAAATCATTATTTCTTAATAAATAAAAAACTTATCAATTTTAACTTCTTTATCTCTTACTTTAACACTCTCTTAATCTTCTTCTATTATTACTTATTTATAGTAATACTATTCTTCTCTCTCTCTTTCTTCATCTTAATTTTAAACAATTCTCAGAACTTCTTCTAGTCTTACTACTATTATATAAAACTCTTTAGTCTCTTCTGTTTCATTTTCTTATATACAGTGCTATCTGTATTATTTCTATACTTAGTTTAGTTTAAATTTATCAGAAGTATTACTTAAAATTATTACTATTCTACTCTCTTACAGAGTCTCTTTAAGATATTATAATATGTCTTATAATCTGTTTTCTCTTACTTAAATATCTTCTTCTTCTCATTCTTCAATCTGTGACAGCACTCATGCGTCTTGATAATACACAGAATCACAGAATATTTAAAGAGAGATAATATAATTGATTTTAATAAGTATTAAAAGAGAGTGTATTGAAATATATTATTAACTTATCAAATATAAAGAGACTTAAAGAAAATATTAATAGCTTTCAAAGATGTACAGAAACAGCTATAGTATTATATAGTAATATTTTCTTTATTTAATACATACACTATTAGTATTCTTTGTATACAGTTATTATATAATCTATATCAGAGATATATGAAGAAAACAGATCTTTATTACTAAAGAAAATAATTACAGTAATTCTCTGTTTTTATAATATAAAGATAAGTTATTCTCATTTCTTTCTTCTCTCTTTTCTCTTCTTTCATCAATTACTAATTTCAAGCTAATATAAAAACTATTAAAACACTCTCAGAAACTCTTAAATTGAAAAGTATAAATTAATTGAATTTTAAATACAGAAGAAAATAAATTATCTTCTATAAATTCAATTATTCATCTTCTTCTTAAATAAAATAGTAGTTATGTCTCTCTCTTCTCTCTTCAATTAAATGAAACATAGTCTGTGAAAAGTGAGTATCACATCAGATTGTAATAATTAATACTACTTCAGTACACAGAGTTGTATATATACAGTATATACTGAACTAAGAGACTGTATAAGTTATAAATCAGTGACAGCATTTCAGAGAGAGCTATGCAGTGTGAGAAAGCTGCAACTCTTAGTTACATACACAGAGAGTGAATTATTATAGTAAGTATATCTATATTATATAAAAGTAATA